GAGCAGCCCCTCCTGGAGCGGGCCAGCCGCGACATCGCCCAGTACTTCCCCGAGTTCCCCGCCTTCGCCGCGCGCTGGGTCTTCATCGCCACCTGGTACCGAGTCACCTTCTTCGGGGGCAACTCGCTCTCACCAGTGAGTAGCTGGCACAAAGCAGCCCTTGGTTGAGTTGTGGGTTGTATTCAGGGGGGAGGGTGTTTGTTTTGTGTTTTTAAAGGGAGCTTTGGAGCCTTCCGTGGTGGTGGGACGCCTGCCGCGCGTGGCAGAGAGCTGTCGGCTGAGCCAACCCTGGAGGCTCTGTCGTGATGCCTTGCTGCAAAAAAGCAGTGCCAGGCTGGCCAAATCAAGCCCTCCTCTTTCTGTTGTGCGAGGCTGCAGATCACTGGTGTTCCCCTTCTTGGGCAGCAGCACAGTGACCTTTGCCTGCCTGCTTGTAGCTGTGCTGAGGAGCCGATTGCGAATGGGGTTTGGTGCCTTTCTGCCAGAGGCCAAATAACTGCATTTTTCCCCATTTTTTATTGTTGCCCTGTGAGGAGAAGTGAGCTGTTCTGCTGGCTGGGGAGGATCACAACACCTTAGAGTTAAAAATAATTAAACCCAACTGCAAAAACAAGCATCCCTTTGCTAAATGCTCTTTCTATCATTTCATATTTCGACTGTTTTTTTGGCTGACTTGTCTGCCTCGTTCCTGCCTGCTCACTCTTTTCTTCCCCTCCCTGCTGCAGGTAAACACTTTCCAGATTGTCCTTATCACAGATGGCAAGCTCTCCTTCACCATCTTCAACTATGAGTCCATCACCTGGACCACGGGTATGCACGCCAGCAGTGGGGGGGACTTTGCCGGGCTTGGCGGCATCGCAGCGCAGGTAAGTGGCAAATGTGGCTCCCAGGGTGCCCGGGCAGGACTTCTGTCCTGAGAACTTGCAGCTCCTGGTTTGGGTTCTTTGGAGGTAGAAGGCTTTTCTTTTTTTTTTTTTTTATAATTCTTAAATATCCATGTGTGCTCTGGCTTCCAAAACTGAGACTATACAGCGGGCTCTGTTATCCCAAAACCACAGGTCTTTGCCTTGGCTGCTGCCTTGTCGTCCCTTTTCCTTCCTAACCTCAGCCTTTAAGAGCAGCTGCTGCAGCCAGCACAGCTTTCAGCTGTATTTTTATTTCATTCTTGTGTGCGTTGTTGTGTTTAAGGGGAAAAAAGCCAACGTGCTCAAAGCCCAAGTACCCATTTGGATGTGTGAATTTACTGGCCGCTGACCCGTGCTTGGCTCCCTGCTCACCAGGATGCTGCAGGTGTAGAGGAAGTGGATGGGCTTTGAATCTCAGCCAGGGACCAAACGGGCAGGGCGGCTGCTTCGCCCTGTTGTGCTGGCTGTCATCCTAGTATGTGGACAGGGCTGAGCGCTGCCTTGGTGGCGTGTGGGACTGTCGGGTCTGAGTGGCAGCAGACGTGAGCCTTCGTGCTGCAGCAACCTTCCCCTGTGCACTAGTAATGCCTCTCTATCCTCTGTCCTTGTCCTGCCAGGCAGGTTTTAATGCTGGTGATGGAAAACGCTACTTCAACATACCCGGATCCCGCACCGATGACATCGCTGACGTGGAGATGACGACAAATGTGGGTATCCCCGGGCGCTGGGTGTTCAGAATCGATGATGCCCAGGTGCAAGTGGGGGGCTGCAGCAATACAAGTAAGAGGACAGCAGTTAGGTTTATTTAACTCCCAACCCAACCCCACACTGTTCTCCGGCCCCCGTCTTTTCCCCTGCCTCAACCCCTGCCTCCGTGGTGTGGAGGAGATGGCTCGAATGGCTTGGGGGAGGGAGGGGAGACAGCCACTGGGGGGGACTGTCCTCGGCACCTGCTGTGTCTGGGGGCAGCACCTGTGGGTGCCCCAGGGCTGGGAAGGGGCTGGTCGAGAAAATGGGGAGGGGAGGAAGACTTCTGAGACAAAAAGAGCCTGTGGGGAGCTATGAGGGGGCTGAGGGGGAGGTGATGGCGCACAGGGGGGACCCCGCTGGTCTGCTGCCAGACAGCTCACAAGGGGCCAGCACCCTTGAGAGATGCACGCCTCTGTAAGTCCCAGGAGGCTGGGGTGAGCCATGCAGAGGGCTGCTGGCTGCCAGCTTCCTCTGTGGGGCTGGGGCACTAGGTCTGGGCCACGTTTCCCACCCTGAGTGTCCTGACATACCATGTGGAGCAACTGGCCTCCTGTTCCTCGCCCCTGCTACCCCCCAGTCTGTCTTTTCCCACCTGTGAGCTCATGTTACTGGTGGGTTTGCTGTACACAGACTCTCCCTTCCCCCTTTCCCTCTGCCCTGGGTCATAAGTGAGGGCACACTCATGTCTGCCAGCCAGCAGGGCTGACCCTGTGCAGCCTCTTCCTCCTGGCACAGGAGGAATAAAACAGTACCCTTGTCCCAGGGGAGCGTGTGAGGTGTGGACCCTGCCTGGCCACGAGGCAGGCAGAGCCCCCATGGGCTCCCAGAGCACCCTAGGGAGCTGGGTGGGCACGGGGGCAGACCCTGCTGCTGGTGTGGCTGGAAGCTGGTGGGTGAGCCCTGCTGGGACAGGGGCTGATGAGGGGGCACTGCCTGTCCCCACAGCCTCTGTCTGCCTGACACTGCGGCCCTGCCTGAACAGGGGGAAGTGTATAGAGGACTGCATCACAGGGAACCCTTCCTACACCTGCTCCTGCCTGGCTGGCTTTACTGGGAAGAGGTGCCATGTTGGTGAGTGCCAGCTCTGAGCTCCTGGTGCCTTGCCACAGGGGGCAGGTCTTGCTCCCAGTGTCACCCCTGCATGCTGGCAGTCTGTCCCTGCAGTTGTCCCTGCCCTGAGCTCCTGCCCCCACCCGGGGCTTTGTTTCAGATGTGGACGAGTGCCTCTCCCACCCATGTCAGAATGGAGCCATCTGCCTCAATGGTGCTGGCAGCTTCAGCTGCAGGTGTCCACTGGGCTTCCGAGGTGCCAACTGTGAAACTGGTGAGTGTGAGGCTGCTGGTATGCTGGGCCTGTCTCTTTGCTGCACTTTAAGAGCAGAGACCCTAGGCTCGGGGGGCACTGCTGCTCTTAGGGGGGACTTTCAGACCAGGGCTCCTGCAGCAGCTGCTGGGCTGAAGCAGTTTCTGATGGCTAGCTTGGATTTCAGCTTACTGTAGGCAAAGGAAACTTTATTCTGGCCACAAGCCCTTCCTGCCACTGGCAGCCCACTCCTCCAGAGGCTTAGCTCAGTGCTGCTGGCAGCACCTTTCCCCACCACCATTCCCTCAGTGAGAAAAGCTGAGGGCTAGTGCTTAAACAGAGGTCTTGAGTGGTCCTGGTTTCACAGGTGATGCTCTGGTGCCAAGGCTTTTTGAAGCCAGTGTGGACTTTCCCAGCCTCTAGCAGGGGCCATGGTGGCCAGTTTCCCCTACTGCTGGCCTCTGCCTACCAGTGGAAATGCTGCCAAAGCATTTGGCTCCCAGCAAACCTCTGTGCCAGTGGAGAAGATGAGCAGGGAGTTGACTTTTGGGGAATGGATGGGGGAGAGGGAAGAAATGCCCAGCACAGCATGCTGGGATTCAAGAGGTGCAGGAGGATGAAAGGACAGCTGCCCAAGGAAGGGTTTTGGGATTAGCTGTGACCAGGGATGTGGCTGCTGTTTCCTGCCAGAAGGTGTGTCAATGGCTCCGAGCTGCACGCTCTGCCTAGCCCCAGCATCACTGTGTGCAGAGGATGCCATGTTCTGGTCCTGTGCCTGGGTTGATCTCTTTTTTTTTTCTATTGTATGTGTGTCCCACTGCAGAAGAGTCACCGTGTGAGAGCAGAATGTGCCAGAACGGTGGGAGGTGCCAGGTGGTCAACGGGACAGCAGAGTGCTTGTGCCAGCTGGGCTATACAGGGGCAGACTGCCAGACAGGTGGGTGGTAGAAGCAGATGTGGGGGGTGGGGATGGTAGTTCACAACTGAGCAAGCTGCTCTACCACCCTGCTTCACCTCAGCTGTAGTGCTGGGAGTGGAGCACTCGGTGTTGCCAGTAGCGCTGACTCTTTGTTTTCCCGGCTGTCGCCTTTCCCCTCCCGAGCACCCTGCAGCAGGGGGGCAGTGGGTGGTGCAGCAGCCTGGTGGTGCTGGCCTGTGGTCTGACTGCCCCTGCTGGGCTCCCCTTGCAGAGGTGAACGAGTGTGAGTCCAGCCCGTGCCTGAACGGTGGGCACTGCATCGACCTGGTGGATAACTACACATGCGTGTGCCTGGAGCCCTTCGTGGGACAGCGCTGCGAGACAGGTGCCCGCTCCTGCTGGCGCCCTGGGAGGGGCCCTTCCAGGGACTGTCCCTTATGTTCCACTGATCGTCACAGCCCCTCTCCCAGGCCTGAGCTCTGCTCATCACTCGCTTGCTTTCCCCCAACCAGACTCCTCTTCCTGTGAGGACTGGAGCTGCCGGAACCGGCAGACGTGCAACTACATCCGCCCCGGCCGCTACATCTGCACCTGCTCCCCAGGCTACTATGGCAACAACTGCCAATATGGTGAGTGGAGGTGCACCTCGGCCAGCCCAACACAGGAGCTGTGTCTGGGGGAGCTGGGTGGGAAGGGGCAAATGGCTAAAAGGGGGCTGTGCCACCCGTAGGTGCTGCCAGAAGCTGGCAGGCGAGTTGTGCAGTGGGGTTGTGGTGCTGCCAGGAGAGAGAGCTTCTGGCATGGCTTGCTGAGCCATGGTGGAGTCTATGGCATGAATCTGCTAGACCAGCTCTGCCCCAGCTTTCCCAGGACAGTGGGTGTTCCAGCCCCAGGCTGGGATGGCTCTGGCTCAGCCTGCTCCTTCCCCACAGGTGGGCCCCGTGTGCCTGGTGCCTGCCTCTCCCATCCATGCCAGAATGCAGGCAGCTGCCTGGAGACAGAGCAGGGCTACGTCTGCAAATGCCAGGAGGGCTACACCGGGCAGGACTGTCGAGACAGTGAGTACCAGGGAGTCTCTCTGGCGGAGTGTGGCATCCCTAGGGGAACCCTTGCCCTCCTGAAAGGGAGAAGCAGCAGCCCTGGAGAGCCCATTCAGGACTCCTGGACTGAATAGCAGGTCTGTCC